AAGAAGAAAATTTGATGAACTGAGCCGATGTTGAGATAAATGAAACAACTAAACGATTAACTTTCCACGAGGAATATGGCGAATATTTCATAAATAAAAGTGCTAAACTGTAAGCGAGCGAGCAACTAGACCTGAATATGGCGTATTCAGTCAATAAATAGTGAACGGACATCTTATCGACTCTTAACAATAACCAACAAAATGAGTAAAATAACGATCGTAATCGAAAGACATACAATACAATGCATTTTCTTATCACCTTTTTGATACTTCTCAGCTTTCTGGATGCTTTTAAATGCCGATTTCACTTTCATTGTTGACTGTTCCACGTTATAGTCGATACGGTCCAATATTGTACCCTGTAAAGCATTTCTTTTCTGTTAGCGCGGGTACATTTCAAACACTCAACAATATTGGTCTTAATGAATAATCATTTCGAATCGGAACGGTATTTTTATTATTGACTTGATGATCAAAATTTAAGTTGATTTCACAAACTGTAATTATTGAATTACATCTCAAAGCAACTTCATAGACGTTTATCTTGATAACTGAAAACAAGTTTCACGAGCAGTTTGAGCAATCTAGTCGAGAACGTCAAATCTTTCTTCAGGAAAACAAGACAAGAACAAATGCAAAACTCATACCAACCTGATCAATGATCATAGAAGCGAGATCTTTAAAAAGTGTATTCAGTTCAACAATCGACCTGCTAACACTCATAACATCTTTTTCACGTTCTTTGACGATATCCGCATTTTGTAACAACAGCTGAATTTGTTCCATTGATAAACCTCAAATAAAAACTTTATATCTAATCAAAATCAATATCACACATCGACACTTCATCAAACCAACGGTTAATGCACTTAACTTGATGAAATCGATATACGCTCCATATTTTGCAAGCATTCAATAATCGCACAAGCAGCATCAATCTCACGCATACTAACATACATAATCAACAGGAAATTCCGCTCCTTTTCACAAATTACATCAATTAAGTTACGGAAACTGATCCCTCACATTACGTATTCAAAAAATGCATCGTTTCTATTGATAATAACGCTGTTTCTATGCAGTTCATCAAATACGCAACTAAGCAAAACTTCCAAATACAAGNTTATAGCATATGTAAATGCATAAATAAATGTACCTTCATCGCCATTATCAACAGGTGCATCATTGAGAACGTCGATATTAACCCAATCAGAAGAAGAATTCAGTAAATATGAATCAACGGTCTGCTTTCTCGACTCAATTTTGCGTAAATAATTTGCCTGGTTACAACGGAAGTCGTTCGCCATATTTGTTAACATTAAACGTAATGTTGATACAACGTTCTTTTGCAATACTGCTTGTTGTGATCCTTCTTTTTCTTCTGACTTTTCGATGAACCTTCAAATCTTTCTTAGAAATTATTCACAAGTCTTAGACACCTCTTAATCAATACACCAATCATTCATACACAGCGTATCACCTATAAACAGCGTATCAAAACGCTAGTTTCAACTGACTGAATCGGCTAGAAATATTGTCTTGATCAGACAACATTCCATAAATTGAGTAAATATTATTGATGATTGACGGATAAAAGGATGTAAATTTTTAGTGCTTGATTTCGAAAATATTAGTGAGTGAAATTTCAGGAGAATACACATAAATAATGCATTGGAGTGTAATGGGACAAAGTAAGATACCCAATGAGTCGCTGACAATGTGACAACATTTGCGTTATTTCTTCGGTATTCGAGTCAATCTTTGCTTGCTCTTCAACATCATCACCAAAACTTGGCTTTGCTATGTGACTTTGCTGCAGATCACGAATTTGTTTCAAACGTGAACGAATTCTGAAACGATAGCGATAAAACAATGTTAAAATCAATNGAAGGTAAAAGGTGAAAACTGATAATGCATATAAGAAGGCAAATGAAGCCAGATGAAATGATGAATATTGGTAACCTTGTGAATTCATATTGCGTTTCATCAAGATAATTAACCCATTCAGGTGGAATTCGACTAGCTGATGAACTTGTTGATGCCATTCCATTTTCTTCATCCAATACTACTAACGACATTTTCTCATCTTAAATTTATTTTCATGAAGGTTCACTGATCGACTCGTGAAATCATTCCCACCCGCAATAGTGACCCGCAACAATTATATGCATATATCCTGAATACAGCTAACTGCAAAAATTTATTTGAAGAAAATCAAAATCTGGTCCTCATGAGAGTGTTTTACAATCTGAAAACATGAAAAGGAAATACGCACGGCAAACCAAAGATTCATTCAAAAAAATTCAAACCTTTAGATCCCATCGCAGAATTTGCGTACATGAATTTGTTTTGTTGGGCATTGTTCCTGAGTAGAAGGAATACCTCGGTGAGATTTCGGATAGTGCCCGCAGGTGGTTGTGTACTTAGTGTACCCATCAACGTTGAGACTGGAGGGAAATTTTCGGCTGTGGTTAAGCCTTAGCAGAGTCTGAATGTCCACTTAAATATTGCAGTGTTATTACTGAACTAATGAAACTACATCAACTAAGCGCCAAATATTAGAATAATAAACTTTTGAGTGCAAAAATGAATTCGTTTAATCATCTTGTAATCAAAGAGCTATGAGTTGGGCTGAAATAGCCGAGAATCAACCACCAAATTACATTTCTCAAGCAATTCAAACTTCTTGCACACACACACACCCGTTTGCCTCCCTCCGATCGGAGTGTATCCAATTTGCAAGAGATTTTTATGTGGCATGCTAACACTTCGCCAAGTAAGAACGGAGTGATGGTTCGTCGCTAAATGATGGAAGTTGCATTTTTAGTTGATTGGTGTTTAAAAATGTGAGTTCCTTACCTATTCAATGAGAATCGATCCGGGCAAATCTTAAATCATTTCTCAGTAGTCACCGCACATTCAGCAGAACCGAACTGGATGAGACTGGGTGGGGAATTTATCAATATGGTGTCGAGTTACTTACTCCATTTCGCTCTGAGAATGAAAATTAAATAAATAACTGAAACCATTATTCATCCAAATGCAAATACCCGTAAACAAAACGTACACCAACTTGGGGCCAGAACTCCGCATTTTATAGAAATGCAATAAATTTTGACCGCAGACATTATTTTGCAAGAGTTATACTACTTAGCCGGATGGATCAGCGGTGATGCTTTTTGAATATTAGTGATGTAAAGACTAACAGTTCTGATGAGAACAACGGAACATTGGCATAAAATGTCGGCATCGGTTTTGAATTTGATGATGACATTGATAATGATAAACATAATATCAATAGTAACAATGAGGTGAACGCTAACAATAGTAACGGTAATCATATTAAAATGGTGAATTATTCAGAATCACACGTATCAGCTACTAATCCTTCGAATATTACCGTTTGTTACAGAACAACGAGTGGTGCAATTAGGACTTCATCACAAGCTGATTTTTGGTAGATTCACCTACGTTATGAATATATGAGAACCTGCCTGCACAAGCTCTGTACCGTTTTTAGTGCACTGCTTGCGAAGTGCGTCACACAACGGACACAACAAATGCTACTTGAGAATGCTACTTGCTAGTTGAATTGGGAATTAGAACTCAATTTGCGAAAACAACGAAGTTGGAATGATGAATTGGATGAATCATTTGACATTGCCTCAGCTGATGCTCTCGTTTTGATGAAAAATGAAGAAGAATTTGTGGTGTTGCAATGATGACTTCCTTTGGCACAACACCTCCATATGAATTCATAAACAATCTCGAACCTTTTCGTGCGACCTGAGAAAGTGCTGCTTTCTGAAGGCTGTTCATTTATATGAACACCGTTATGTGCGGCTGATTTTTGGTTATTTCTAAACGATGAACCATGGTTAAAATATTCCCCAAGTGCACAGTAACCGAGTGTCCCAAGTAACGGCAACTTGCCTTTAAATTTACTGTGAATTGTCTTTCATTTTCGATTCAATCAGTCTCACATCAACATTTATTGATTATATTAGTTGTCATTGTAAAGTTGTAACGATGGAATACAATCGATGGAATGATAAAGTCGATGATCATCATTGGGGTGATTATTATTTGTCTGGTGGTCGCAAAGGTAAAAAGTCATGGGCGCTTGAATTGGTACACACTGTTAATCAGATGATACCGAGTTTCAATGAGATTTTCGATGAGGTATTCGATTGATTTGATGTTATGTTATTTTGTGCTGTGTTGGTTGCATTCTTCGATTTCTTATTCGCTGTGGTGTTTACTTCGTTTTTTTGCAATATTCGCTTTGGTTATCTGATTGCATGGTTTTGCTGTTTAGAAGATATTTTCTTTTCATCGCTGTCCACTACCAAATGCAAGTGATTTACTCCAAATTTGCTTTAGTCACTTTTTGTTTGAGTTAGTCTTTCAGAATTTAAGTGATATGCGACCAAGAGCCTCTCATAGCAGAACGAATTCATTTCGTAGTTGCTCACCTTATCACATGCGGTGAAATGGTTTTATTAGAAGATATTTATAATGTCATTGTTTTTGTGATTTGTTGTGTGCATGTTTGCGATCCGCTGCAGAACACGCTTTCTGATAAAAATTTCATCTGATGTTCATTTTGAGACACATTCTGACGATAGTGTCTGTTCAGTTTTNAGCAAAAACTGATGAGACGGTTTACAAAAGGACATTTGAAGCACAAGCTTCTTGCTGAATAACGTAAAACTATCAAGACCACCTGAATCTACTGCATGATTCTGAATCCAAGCATGTGACTTTCTAATGCATGTGAATTAGACAGTATGGACAACTTGCGTGATAAAGATTTTTAGAAAGAAATTTATATACTTAATATGGAATTTACCAAATAATAAGAATTGTACGAATTTTGGCAGCACAATAAATCATAAGTGAATTGTATTTTCTAGAGGAAAAGTTGCTCTCGGAGCAGTTACATGGTTGTTTAGTTAAATAATTGTGAAAATGTTTGGTGACTGGTTTAGGGATTGAAGGTACATCGACATGTATCTATATTTTAAAAACAGTAAAGTTTTAAATGCAAACCGTTTTGAATTCAGGAAACATTTTATGCGTTCGCATTCATCGTGGTCATTTGTTCAATACTAGTAGCGGTGTTCTTATCGAAAGTGGTCGGTATTCGGATTCGTGAATACCCACTGAATGTGGATCGAGAGTGGAGAGACGCAAGACCCGCGAATCCGTTTCATTTCCCGTGGGATCGAACACGTTGATTCGATTTCAATTGATCAAGCCACCAATTGTTTCAGTTCAAAATTCGTCGACTTCATTTACAAGTCGTATAATTCATAAGCATTGAATCAGCTCTGCCACTGAAACAGTTTTCACTGTTCAACTCAAAATAATTCTG